ATGACAATGACAATGACAATGACAATGACAATGACAATGACAATGACAATGACAATGACAATGACAATGACAATGACAATGACAATGACAATGACAATGACAATGACAATGACAATGACAATGACAATGACAATGACAATGACAATGACAATGACAATGACAATGACAATGACAATGACAATGACATTGACAATGACTAAGCTTTTTTTTTTAATAATCAATTTAAAACGATTCATTTATGTCAGTTCATATCACAAGCAAACAGCTGGTTAAATTGTCTTTCGGCAAATAAGCAGGTAAAATTGTCTTTCGGGAAATAAGCAAATTGTATACATTTTATTATTAAAGTCATGTCATGAAGAGCAGCCCCATAAATCCTTATAAATAAATAATGGATTTCTGCAATTCATTCTTCATACTTTTTATTTATTATCGGAGCCAAAATGCCGGCTGGCGGCTAGTGAACTAAAGTTTCGACATTCCTTGCTGATATAACTTTTGTTCTTGGCAATGTTTATATAGCCTGCTTGCTTTCTATTAGTTTTTGCAAGTGTTTATATGAGCTCTAAGAAATATGAGCGCTCAGTGCCCCACCCTCCGCTCCACTTCACTCGACTCCACCGATGTGGTCATAAAAATTGTGGTACAGGCAATGCCAACAGTGCAAAATGGCAAATGCTGCAAGCGCCAACGAACCAAAAATGAAATGGCTTAAGCTTTGTGCAAAGCGTCTGTTCCTGTTTGTTGTTGTTGCTGTTGTTGCTGTTGCAGTTGTTGTTGCTGCTGCTCAAATATAAATGCATTTGCGCCCGACCACAAAATGTGTTCAACCGGAAATTGTACGTGGAGAGTGCATGAGTGGGCGGTTTGGCTTGGGGGCTGATACGGGTTATAGTCTGTGCGCAATACGAAATAGGGTATATTGAACGGACATGAATGCCCGCCAGTTACTGCATTTTAGATATCTGGGCTTTCACATGGCAACCTCGCTTCTTATTATCATTAAACAATTATTATTATTAACAAATTTGTTCCTTAGAAAATACTTTTTTTTTTTCCAGGAGCCAAAAATGTGCCGGAGAAAATATTTACTTTCTTATCATAGTTTAATTAGTCGCTAAGTTTTTTGAAAATTAGTACAAATTGATATTTCTGTTCCTAGTATATATATTCTTGATCAGCTTGATGATATGAGTAGATTTAGCCATATGCATTTGTTTGTCTGCGTGTCTGCCAAAGCGCATCCAAGCCGAAAACCTCAAAAACTTCAGACTTGAAATATGAAATGTATTTTCGACTTAGATTATATAATTTGGAAGAAAAGGCAGACCCTTGGACTTTGCTATATTGACAAACAAACATAGTTTCTTAATCATAACTACAAAATTATTAGAGCTAGATACATCAAATTTGATAAGTAGGTTGTCTGTATGGAAGACATCTCTCCAAATTATAACAGAGTATTGCACAGTCGGTAGTCCTGCAATGCGATGTGTGTGTGTGTGTGTGTGTGTGTGTGTGTCTGTTGCGTTATGTTAGTGTCTGTGCGCGCAATGGGTCTATGGGCTTTTGGGTGCTTTGGCAGTCATTGCCATACGTTCCATTAGCTTTTTTAAGCGCCTATTGCCGTGGTCGCTTTCTGGCCTCTGCAGCCTTCTCCCTCCCTCGGGGTGCTGAAATTTTAACAGATTTTTGCGTGTGCGGCTTTTCTATATTGCGGTTGGCCAAAAGCCGCTGCGACTAAGCTGCACCCATGTTCCGAATGCTCAGTCAGACAGTCTGTCCGTCCATCAGTTTTGTCGGTTTTCAGTTCTGTCGTTCGGTTCTTATTTGCATCGATGGGGATACAAAATGGAGCATAGCTGTTATTGGAGTCGTTAACGTCATCATTGCCATCAGTTGCACCTGCCTGACGCAGCACTTTTCGCCAGCTACGACGCGTCAAAGTGCAAATGAGTCAGGAGACAGACACACACACGCAGCACACACACACACACAACACACACACCCAACCAACCGGGGCACTGTGCAAACACAAGAAAATGCACTCATGCAATATGCAGCAGGTAATCTCGTTTCTTTTAATCGCTGTTTGACATCAAAATTAGAATTTCTTAAGATGCTGCAAGTCGCCAACTATATAGACACGAAGATAAAGACACCTTTCTTGTTGGTTGTTTGCTTAGATTTTACCTTTGTGAAAGTCGCGTCTTTTTTTCTTCTTCTTTTACCTCTTCAATGGACACCTTTGATTGGGCGCCGTTCTTTGCATAGGAAAATTGAAAATTGATGGAACGCTTTTTAGAGCTGGCCACAGTTTGCTTGCCATCAATTCAAAATTATCCTTCCTGGGAATATTCACACACTCAATGTATTTGCCATTTAGTTGACAGGCTTCTTTTCTAGCCCCAACCCGGGCTTTCCCTTTAAGTCCTGCATTGTTCATTTGTACAGTTTTAGGCATTTGGGAGTTGGCCCTGGGTCCATTGTGTCCACTTTGGTTACCATTGATGCTGTGACACGTTCCAACAATCGCTCACTTTGACGGCTGCTTCGGTCCATTGTTTGATGTTGTTTTTTTTCTTTTTGTTGCTGTTGTTGTTTACTTTGTTTTGCATTCACATTCTATCACATTCTTTCATTGTTTCCGTAGGGTATCCAGGAAGTGTTCAAGTTTTGCAGTAAAAAAGGGAAAAACATGCAGATTAAGCTCGAGCTGCCGCAGTTTAAATACCCTTGCAGAGTTTAGGTCAATATATGCCGTATTTTTATACATTTGGCCCACAATTGTTTTTGGTGATCTTTATAAGAGGGTTTATATGCATGAATGATATGGTATGATATGTTATGATGTCCAAAAATTAATGAGAGCTATGAACAAAGTGAACCATTAAAAAAAACTAGAAACTATATTCCATGTTATTTTTTATGGCTTAGAAATTGATTTAACCAATTTCTCTTTATATTAATTGTTCGCGTTTTTAGGAAAAAATTTTCCATTTTTGCTGGAGCTTCATTTGAATGCCCTGATATCAGGGCTGCAAGCTCGTCAAACTTGTTGTTGGTTCAGTTCACGATTCGAACCAGTTTCTTTAGGTTCAGCATGGAATTTGATTACTTTGTAAATTGTAAATGAACCAAGCAGAGCTTAAGACTTCACGTTCTTATGAAAATTTCGGTGCTATCCAAAAATGGGAAACTCGTTTGGTTTTGGTTGAGGCTTGAACTAATATAAAATTGCATGCACTAACCTGGGCTCAAAGCCAATTAAGTATGCTTCCATGTGAAATCCGCCTTGGAGCTTAAACTTTGGTCATGTTTTCATTTTCGGATTTCGGTTTGTTTGTAAAAAGTTCGCCAACATTCAACTGTTGCCTGGTTTGTTTATGCGTTTCATTGTATTATTGTTTAGTTGCTTGGGAGCCCCAGATGTGTTGTGGGTGCCACATCTGGAGCATTGCCACATGCATTCAGGTGAAACAGTTTTGCAATTTCACGCGGCCAGCCTCGGGACTCGAAATGGCCAGGCGAGCCCTGCCCCAATGTCCGCCTCACCCATGTGCTAGTTCCAGTTGCGTCAGCATTTGACTGAAAGACAAATGGAAGCTACACTTGGCTTGGCTACTGGCGGCAGCAATTAAAGGATTTCATGTTGTTGCTCTTCTTCCTCTTGCCGCTCTCATCTCGCAGAATGAGTACACACAAATTTTTTGCTCTTGTCTCCATTTAGTCACTGTTAGTTTTAACTTTAAGGGTCATTTGTCTCTTGCAAAACTTTTCGTCTCACTTTGTTTCGCCAACTTGCCAAGTCATACTGAATGGCTCTGAGCTGCGGGGTGGACCCTGCCTGGTCAGGACGTGGACTTTGGCCTCGCCAAATTATTGGCTCTGTTGGGGCATAATATATCTTCATATAAACATGCATCGCCATAAACAATATGAATTTATATGTGCGCTGTGAAACATTTTAATTAATCACTAGAGGGCATCAATTGCATTTTGTGCGCTAATAATTTATGTTATAAATATTGCACAATCTCATGTTTCGCTTGTCGGTAGACCCCTCTCCCCCCAAACCATTCCGCCTTCCCTCTGCACCGCGATCATATCCATAATTTGAGGTTTAGCCGGGGGAGTTTGCCCTCGTCCCCACACCGAACATGCAACACACTTGTGGCACGCATTTAAAACGAATTGATATTCAATTATGCCAACGACTCTCCACAGTGGCAAGCAAATGGTTAGGGCTTGGGCGTGTCTGCCACCCAGCGCAAAATATTAAACGGCAAACAATAAATATTTATTTAGGTTTGCAGTTCATATTTTACCATGTTTGATGTGGTTGTAATTGTTGTTAAAAATAAGAGAAAAAATTCGGCATTTATTCGACCGACAAACAACGCGAATCGGCTGCTCTTTAAAAATCGGCAGCAGTAAATTTGGTTGTCATTTATCGAACTTCATATTTTTTATGACCAAATACGGGCTAAATTGTGAGTCAATTGTTGGTCCTTGCTCCGATTTTCTTTATATAAATTATTAAAATTTTCATAATGACTAAATGCTTTTTAATATAACATTTATAATGTGTGCAGAAATTAGCATGCCACAAAAAATATTAAACAAGATCTTGGAGAATGCGTAGATAAGATTTCTTGTTTTGATTCATTGTATATAAATATATTTGAGTATTATCTTAAAGCTGCGAAATGCTCATTACTTTTTTGAGAAATTACAAAATTTCCAAAATTTCTAAAATTAATAAACATGGGCTTAAGGACTCAGAAGACCCTTCCGTAATATCATATGAAATGTATTTCTTGGTGTAAAATCTTGCTATCTGGTATTCTAATATAATTTGGATGGCAATAAACACATAAAAAATAAACACATAAGTTATTTAACATTATATATTTCATTTTTACAATTACGAATAATTTTAAATTTTCTGTACTTAACGCTTACATGTGCCAACTCAATTTAAATATGTATTAACTTCTTTACAATATGCAACCCAATTGGAAACCATATTTGTAGAAATACTCTATTAATAACTGTCTACGTAGCTTGCGACGAATGTGGGCGGCAAGCCTTAATCGCTCATCATCCAAATAACCCTGATTAATGCCCGGCCTGTGAACCAAAAATGCATTATCCAATGTATGAAACCGATAGCCCATTAGGCACAATGCAAAGGAATGTGTTGCCTTATCGGACATGCCCTCCCAGCTAAGAGTCTCATCGTACACCGGATCTTGTTTGGTTCCAATGTAGATCGGATCCCAGTAACCGATGCGTTTATTCACGCAAAACACTCGCATTGTATCGCTGTAATCGACATGTTGAATCCATTTTTTAAGATTTGGTGCGATGTTGAATTGGGGAGCGATGTCTCTGTGAAAGGGTATTGCTTGGCCAGTTTTCAGCTTGTATTTTAATTCCTTTTTGGTGGTTGGCACAGTGCTATTCGCACTCACTTCGAAAATGTTAAGTGGAAAGACAAGCGGCCTTGTGGAGTTCAGTAAATGCATATTAGCTGCTAGCATAAGCAAAAAGCCATTGACCAGACCCGGCGAGGGATACAGCTCGATATCGGAGGACAGAACGTAATGTGTCAGTGCCGCCTCTTTGGCAATATTTCGTCCCACATTAATTGGATATTTGAGTTCCATTTGCTTTCTATATAGCTCATCACTTGACACATTGGCAAACGGCGGAACCTTAGTGCATTTTATTTGTTTGGCTAACAATATCTGTTGATTGTATACCTGTCGCGGTATATGATTAGCATTGAAATAGATGTGAAAACTAACCCATTTGCGGATTAGCTTCCGCTGTGGATCACATTGGCGCAGCCACAGAATGCTCGACACCGTCTTGTTAAAGTCCGTACCCGGTGCGTAGAGTGCCAAACTAATGGGTGCTCGCCAACGCTCCACCAAGGGCGCCACATTGTTCAGATATCGATAGTCCCCGTGGGTGGTGTACGTAATGAACACCGAGCATCGCAGACTGCCGTGCTCTGCGGGTACATAGTTCACCAGAACCCAGTAATTCGAGTGCACTTTCTTTTCATATACAATATCACGATCTGTACAGTTTATAGCCATGCGCAGGCGAAGAAATTTCGTGGCTTCATCGGAATTCTCCGATTCTTTTCGAATATCTGCCGTTGTCTCGCCCCGCACCATGTAGACGCTTAGCATGAAGAGCAGAAGCACAAAACATGAGCTAAGCATTTTTTTTTTTTTAAATTTATTTATTGTTGAAGTTGAATTGTTGGTGCAATTCAAAGTGTGCCTGATTCGCTATTAAGAACTTTGCAGTCGATCAACTTAAAACAATTTAGATACTTGATCTCAAATTTTGATTTCGCTTGAATCGACGACCTATACACAGCCTTCTTTGTTAACAAGTGTACGATACTTATATCTAAATAATATATCTAATAATATATATAAATTTTGCCCTACGTCTATATACGATATTGGAGTTTTTGCCGATACAATTGGAAATATTTTTTCAAGCTCTGCTTTATTTGTAACAATTTATTGGTTTGTCCAACCAAATCATAGAACTTTAAAATTAACATTCCATTTAAGACAATTGGTATACGTAAGTGATATATGTTTTTTATTTTAATATGACCGCAGAGCAGTTATAAAAATATATTTTGCATTGGGAAATTGATCAATTTCGACAATTGGCAGGTCATTGAAATCAATATAATGCAAATAATCTGTTTCTAAGTGGGCCTTATATTGATTAGCGAGAATTTTAATATGCAGCCTGTGCAAACATACAATTAATAAACAAAATTAATGTACATTGTTATTCATCGTAGTGTGTGTGTGTGGGTGTGCCATAACCCGGTATTTTGCAACTCCCGCCGGACAGCGAAATTTTAATTATGCACCATCGAATGGTGGTGGCAAAATATATAATGTATATAAGTATATAGAAAGTATTAGTAATTACGAGTTGAAATTTCATGAAAATACAATTTGCGATTATTGTTATCAGTGTCAGAGGCAACAGGCTATGGTTGTGGCCCACACTCAGGCCCCACCGCCCCCACAGCCCTACGCCCTTAGACAACTTTCAATGGCGTAAAAGTTTTACGAGCAGCGTTGTCGAGCGACAGCAGTTGAAAAATTTATAAATTCAATAGCACCTAATTAAAATTAAATCTGAAAGCTTGTTGTATCGACGATGGCACACAGCTTAGGCGCCAGCAACAGTATCAACAGAAGCAACAACAACTACGAAAACAATTACAACAAGCTAAAACTGTATTCGGGAATGCTTGACCGGAATATACCCTGTGTCCAATTGCAACTTTATTTTTATAGCCAAATATTACTCGTAAATCATTACTATATTTATTGTTTGATGCTTATAGATTTACCTAGCGTAAAGATCAATGTTCTCAAAAAACTATGTATCGATATTTATCGATAGACATTATTTATTATTATTAATTGTGCTAGCCTCATTTTCATAGACCCTTTTTGCCACATTTTAATGGGTATATTTACGCGAGTTACAGGCAAAAGACGGGCTGGGATGCTGCCTAGCTTCCTTTAACCGTTGTTACTGCTGCTGCTGGCAGGATATGCACGGTAAATGCTATAGCCGGAAATGAACACGTACTATGTGTGTGTGTGTGTGTGTGTGTATGTGCGTGCGTGGGTGTGTGTGTGTGTTTACGAGTACCTGGAAGAAGTTTACCAGCTGGCTCAGCCGGGCTGTGCTGAGCTTATTTATGAGCCAGCATTCTGCGTATGTGTATGCGTGTGTGTGTGTAAGTGTGTACAATATTAATTATTGAGAGATTTGATATCGGCTTAAAGTTTCTGTTGTCGTGAGTGTTTTTTTTTTGCACGGCCAACGCTCACGACGCCCAAAAGTATGCAATATGGCAAGCAAATTGAAGTCACTTGTCGCATGCAGCATAATCATAATCAACTTCATTATCATCATCATCACCATTGTCATCATGAGGGTGAATCCAATTTGGAGCAAATCTTTCGTTGGCCAAGAGGTGGCTGCCTTAACAAGAAAAAAATAACAACTTTAACCCATTGCTGGGTGATGGGGTCACTTTGGCTCTTCGACTGTTGCACTTACTTTACTCTGGCGCTGGAAATGAACCAATAAATCAGTTTATAATGGCAAAAAGGCAATAGCAAACGCAATATGATGACAGGACAAACTTTTGGCGCCTCTTTTGGAAGCGGACCCAAGCAGCAGCTGCATAGATCAATGAACCAAAGTCGAAAGTGTTTTTACGATGCGCCTGAAAGCAACGCAATGGAATTATATTTACTTGTGTGAGCAATAACCAAACCAGAGAAGGCAAAAGGATGGCCATAGCTGAAGACATGGACTGTAAATGGCATTGTGCACGCCGTGAGGGATACTAGAAAGCGATTGATGATTCAGCTACACAGAATCAAAGAGTCAAACTAATGTGTGCTGTATGTGCTTTCTGAAAGTACTCGGCAAAATGGAAATATGATAGTACAAGCGCATGTGCTATTTTCTTTTCAAATGAAAAGCATGAAAAGGTTGAAAATTAAACCATGGTTTTTGTTAGTAATACGAAGAACTTCTATTGAAATCTTGTCTATAATATACTACAAAATCACATCTATTTTTGATTTTTGTTTGGTTTGCCAAGAATCGCTTTGCAATTGTGGCTATAACAGGACAGGGAGGGTATGTATATGCAGAGGCCAAGTTGTATTAAGCTTCAATATCTACCTGTTTTAAGTAAGTAAAGGCAGTTGAAAATAGTTTCCTTATTTTATTCCGAGCTATGTACTTTCTTGGTCAAGTAAATAATCAGTTTTCACAATAATCTGTGAAACGATCTGAAGCTGGACTGACTGAAATAAACGAATAAAAATCTGACTGTTTTCCATCTATTTTCCATCATTTGAAATCCAGCCGTTAAAACATGTTATCGATAAAATTTCACATAGCTCCAAAATATGCAATTTCATACAATTTTCTTTTCATATTTTCCAGCATTATTTCTAGCGTTCACTTTATTTGTAGATCTCTCAAAAAAATCGTAGAGTAATTCTCCGAAAAACAAAACAAGTTTTCGTTGTTGAACATTTGCCAACCTTGTGCTAAGATTTGCATGGATTCCATGGATTCCATAATTGAGCATAAAATGCAGCTGAATTATTTAAGTGTCAAATGGTGACACTTCAATTAATAGTAATTTTTTTTTAATTACGATACTCGACTTGCTCCAATTCCGAAACAAGTTCGTTTCATATTTTATGCAGCCCTGGCAACAAAAAGACAGTCGCCTACTGCATAAATGCTGTCAAGCATAAAACATGAAAAGATAAACTATGACAAAAGAATTGTAACAAGTGTTGCATATGATTTGCATATGTATTTATTATAATACACATAACTTATAGCATGTAAGCCAATATGTGTATCTATAAATATGTGCTAGAAAAGTCTGCTTGTCAACAGACACAAATAACAGCAACAAAACAAGAAGGCGGCGTTCGAGTTCGTGGTACAGTCAGCCACGCTGCATATTTTAACATTTCCGGTTTCATTTCACAATGCAAACAAAATGGCCGGCAGACGTGTTTCCGGCATACCAAAGGCACCTGGGCTGACCAAACACAATGAACGGCGGCCAAACTGAATTGGCGCGTGGGCGGGTGGGGGCATCGGGTCGTGTCGCTATGCATATATATAGATATACATATATGGGTGCTATATCTGCCAATTGATTAGCGACATGTTCCCTCATCATAACTGGCTTATGATCAAGGTCCGTCGTTTGGAGCCGAATAGTTTTGTATACGCGGTGTGAGCTTTATTTTTATTTCCCATTTATTCAGTTTTTCTCTTCTTGGTTAAGAGCAGGTTTGGGTTCGGTTTTTGCGCTTAACTCTTTAATCTTGCAGGCTTTTCTTTACTATTTTTTTTTTTTTTGGCTGTGCGCTGTGCGCAGTCGACATAAAAAATTTACCAGTTGATTTTATGCTGGATTAAGCTTAAACTTTATACTAAAAGGAACTAAGCAAGCGTAAATGGAGCCTGCTCTTTTTCACTCTTTTCCCCTTATACAGACGGGTTTTCTCCCAACATGTTGTTCTTGCTTGCGATTTTTCTGTGTTTGGGCCCAGTCCCTTGTTAAAATAGCTTTACGGTACGGGGCACTTCGACTGATAGCTGGGCCTTTGGTTTGCCCTTTTACATGTTTGTTTGTGTACGTGTGAGTATGTGTGTGTGAGCGGGTTGAAGGACGCGTCCGAAGCCACGTCTGACTGATTCTGTCGCATATCCCTAGACCCAGGCGCCGGGCCTGAAATATTTGCTGTGACAGTTTTGGAGGGTTGGCTCGCCTCCCCCCATCTTCCACATAATTCAATAGGTTTTGCGAATCGAAAGTCCATCAAGCAAGTGGAAATTGTGGCAGTGGTTTATAGGCTTATACACATCGTAGCCAATTTTCGAGGCAGCCAGCAACTCTCCGGTAATAGCTCCATTATATAATTATTGTGCATTATTGTCTGGGACTGCAGCACAGCACGTATGTGCTGTCTGTGTCCAGCCCGCTCGATTACCTGGTTTGGTGGTCAGCTCTTGCGTGATTTTTTATTGGGTAGAAGCTGCTCGTTTGCCACATTACATAAATTTTCTCCATATCAACGGGGCAGCTACGTTGAAAGCCAATAAAAATTTGTGTCATTCAACCGGCACGAGGTGCATCCTCCACCAACGCCCGACCACTCGATCACCATCGATACATGACTATATATATATATATACATGTATATATTGCATGTCCTGCTGGCGCTGGTCAGTAGTAGGCTCCCCCCCCTGACAGAATCCAATTTCATTTCAATTGACCAGGCTATGCATATATAATGTTACAGCATATGATTTGCAATCAATCCACGCAAACGCGACTGTTGTAAGTGTTGACATTATTTATTATGTAGCTACCACACATGATTGTTATTTACATAACTAACTACATATGTCTGTATATCTACATTTATCGGTTGTGTACTGGTTATTTTTTATGTGCATGTAAAGCCATTACAATAACTTTTCCTTACATCAAATATAGTAATAATATTTATATAACTATTCAACGAGCAGTTATTGTTAAATTTGTATGTTTTCATTTCGAAAATAGGTT